TAGTTCTATCTGGTCTTGGTTCCAGAATCTTTATTATTATATATCATTGCATTGCAACAATAAGGGCTTCAGTCATACCAATACTTTTTGTCTGAATAGATTGATCAATCGCCATCTAGCAATGCCTTTGTTTACTAAGAATTAGTATTTTTATAGTAAACACTTCCCATCTAACAATCTGAATTTCTTTAAAAACGATATTTTTAACCATTTATCTATTTTTTATGCCTTATATTGATATCTCCAACATCATACCTTCACCATACACTATATGAAATAGATACCACTTGTAAAAATAAAGAATCGGCTATTCGTTTAATCAATATTTATACTGATATTTCGTCATCTCTAAAGTGGATCCTAAACATATCCTTTAAATTATATTTCTGTTATATTACTATATTTTATAAAATTTCAATTTAAATATTTGGCAATATCTAAAAAGAGAATGAGAAAAATGTTATATATTATCAATACATATAGAAGTATAAGTAACAGTCAGGACCTAAATCTTCATGGCACATAGACAATTAATTAGTCGGGACCTAAATTTTTAAATAGTATTTGAGTAAATTTATTAAAGATTTTTTTTAAGTAATTTATATAATTTATAAAAGATTTATTTATGTTTCCACTTAGTTTTATTTTTTTGCTATTTGACTTGGTTCTTCAACCTGAACTCTGTTCCAAAGGAATATTCAGAATGAAAGCACCAAACGTCTATTAATTTAAATGTATTAAGAAATCTTTAAATATTAAAGTAAACTATAATTGGAACTATCTTGAGAATTAAATAAGACAGTTCTATTAAGAACTTATTATTCATTTGGTAGATTTTAATTTTTCTATAAGGAACAAAATGTTCGTATAATCAAGGTTTTATAATAAATATTTATAACTATTTTAAATATCAGAGTAGAAGTAACTTGTATAAAAATAATTACATCTTGTTAATGTGAAAATAATTAGATTAAATCTTATTACTTTACATCTATATTCACCATAAAATTAGTTTAATTTTTTTAATTGTCCTTATTATATCTTATCATTTATCAATCGACTTGTAACATTTTTTTTTTATAATAAATTATATACGTTACATATAAACCAGTATTAATAAATATGCATTTTAAATATAATTTATTAAAAATCAAAATGGAATTTAATAAATGGATTATTTATAACGGTTCATAAGGTGAAGATTAGTTAAACATTGAACTTCAATATTATAAAGCGTAAATCGGTAGATCAAAACAGTGCCCATTATCAAAACATATACATGTAGATTTATTATAATTTTTTATTATTGATTCAATGAAATTCATACAGACTTAAAAAAAAATTATAGAATTTTACTTAAAATCTAAATTGACAATAACATATTTGTTGTGTGTCAGAAACTTATCTGGCGTAGGAATTACTGTGATCGAGAAGACCGTTCCCCAAAGTGAGGCTTGGCCATTTCAGATTTTATTTTTATTTATAAGTTTGCTATATTTAAAATATATGTATATCTCAATATCGATAAAATACTATGGTAAACACTATATATATATGATTTTGGAACTTATTATTACAAAGATTAAAGTACGTAATGTGTATATATATGGAAAACTACGCGTGAAATGAACATTCAATAAATTTGTTAATTCTTGTTAAAGTTGTTTTCTAGATTTCAAATTCTTTCTTCTCTAATAATAAAGTGCAAAGAGAGAGAGAGAGAACGTATATCGTCTCTTTGAACCGTAAACAGATACCAAATTTGTTGGTACTATCTTGAGCGCCATATATAAATATATATATAGATATAATATAAATATGGATATAGATAATGACTATAAAAATAATTTAATTTTAATAAATATATTATATTATTTTAACACAACGATGTTGAATATCCTCGTTAGAATATAAACTGGAAACAGGTCCTTACTCAGTGTGTGAAAACTCATGACATCTAAAAAATGTATCAAGAAAAATCAAAATTTTGTTATAAAAAATTATTAAAATTATTTAATTAATTATAAATTTAATTTATTTTTATTAAATTATACGGCCTGTAATCACTTATGGAAGTAAAACCTTGAGATTAATTGATGCCAAAGCAAACAAAGTGTCAGTATTTGATATAACGATAAACTCAATCAGCTGATGAAAGGTGACACAATAATCAAGCGCATAAAAAAGAAACGTTTAAAGTGGGTAGGACAAGTTGTGAGGATGCCAGAAGAAAGAAGAGTAGACAGAATCTTAGAAAGAGAATTGAAAACAACGAGAAGAAAATGAAGACCAAGAAAGGGATGGAGTGACAAGATCTGAGAGATGTGATTGTCTTCAACTAGAGGATAGGAGTAAAAATAGAGAAGAATAGAGAAATTTACATTTTCTAGTCTTCCTGAATAAAGTTGAAACAACGAAAAGAAAAGAAAAGCCAAGAAAGAGATGGAGTGACAAGATCTGAGAGTTATGAATATCATAAACTGTAGGATAAAAGTAAAAATATAGAAGGATGGTGGAATGTTCATTCTCCAATCTTAGTTCCTACATGGACTATATAGCTATGAATGATAATGTTATTATAATATTTAAAAAATAATTTAAAAGACTATGAAATCGTTAGGATGTTCTCCTAATAAGATAAGACATTCACATTGTTATCAAATATATTCTTAAATAAATATTTTATCCCCTTGTGACAGAGGCAGTCCAAAGTTATAGGGTTTCTTGAATTGAAATTGCATTTGCAAAATAATTGATATCTAAAAAAAGACAATTTCGAAATAAAATATTTTTGAAATTATTAATAACTAGAAAATTAATAATACCTAAAATTAAAATTTTTAGTCCAAATATTTATGAAGAGGATTTCTAAAAGCAGTGAACTACAACAACAAAAATTCTTTTCTACATTATTTTAATTATTTGAATTTTTGGTTGACCATATAACTGTTTCGAATATTGCCAAATATTCATCATCAGTGGTCTTGGAAAAAATTCTTTTGTTTAATTATTAGGAAATATTTTTTTTTGAAACTACAACTACTTAGAATCAAACTCGTGCCCTGCCAAAGTTGAAGGTCAGAGTCAGCTCTGCATAACCAACGAACCCAAAGCCGTACTTGACTTTTATGTTCACACATTTTTCTGCAGTTTTGTTACTTTGCTATGAAAATTTTATTAACAAATTTACCTGCTGTGTTATATTAGAACGAAATCATAAGCCAGGTGTAGAATAATTGAATTAATTAATTATATCTTTATTTTTAACTGTTAAATATCAAAACTATTTTAAATATTTATAAAAGCTGCTGTGAGGATTGTGTATATTTCCTTGAAACCCTCAAAATCTTTATAACGACTCATTGAAATAGCTGAACTCCACTAGCTCCCGTTCCCATTTTTTTTTCTTCAGCCAATAAATTATTTTCCGTATAGATACATCTTCTTAAAATTTGGGACGAAGTAGTGGCAAAGAGAGGATACAATTTAAACAATATTTTTTCTAAGTTAAATAATATTTTTTTCCTCAAAAGTGCTGATCACTAGAAGTTGTTATTATAATTTTTTTGTACCAAAAGTAATCTATATTCAAAAAATGCTATTAATTTTTTCTATACCTATAATACTATTCCAAATTGCGTATGACACTAGAATAATATTTCAATCAGAGGCGAGGCGTCGAATAGTTCAGAGTGTTCACTGAACACCTTAACAAAGCTTCCTTTTTAGATCTTTTTTATATTAAGTAAATAATCTCGCTATTTTGCTATTTAACATTTTTTATAATAGCTTTTCCAAACATGTTAACATAAACAGAAAACGTATAATACAAACAAAACCACACATACATATGTTAGTTACACCCAACATTACTTATAATTAATAAAATAAAAATAATTTATTTCAAATAAATTCCTCTTAAAATATAATAAGGTTCAGAATAAAAAATGCACCGCACTGCTTACAAAGCATGCCAATGAAATAACATTCACATTGGGACTATGTTCAGTACTGAATAAACACAAAACATACAAACAAATATAAAAATAAAAGAGAAAACAAGCCCCGCAAAATAAGTACGTAAAATAATTACAACTCTTACATTAATGCGTGCAAGCGGTTCAATAAAAAAAGTGAACTTCCAATGTTATGCAAAGTAAATACAAAAGAGAAAAAAAATGACTGAGCGAAAATCGCTTTACATTTGACTAGATCAACCTAACTAAACCATAAGATCATACAAAGCGTGCAAATACAATCAAAGTCACGGTTGCCGTTTTATATGAGCAAATGGTTCAGTAAAAAAACCGAACCGCGCATAGTAAATACAAAGTAAAAAGTAAGTGAATGCTTGAGAGTTTCTTACTCTTATGTAGAGGTTGGAAATAAATCAAAAACAAAGTCATTATTGCAATTTTATACTAGCAAATAGTAAAAGTAAAGAAAAAAATTAAAGAAATTTGAAGTGAAAAATAATATTTAGATTTGATTCAAATATCTTTTTTTTAAACAATCTTCTGAAAAATGGTTTTAATTCATAAAAAGAATAGACCAACTCCAGATATGAAGAATTTGGTACCTGTTGTAAAAATGTCGAAATCTGTGATAAGTCGCCGTTTTCCTACAGCTATTTACCATAAAAACCAGTGGATCACAGGCTGCGATCATTTAAATATATTGTTTTGTTGGTCTTGTACGCTATGTGCTTGTGGGAAGGACAAAACTCAGGAGTAGGTAGAATACGTTATAGTTGGAATTCAGTTTTGATCAAATTGTGAACACCTTGCCAAAAAGCTGACGCTTCGCTACTGATTTCAATATACAACCGACCAAGATATTTGAAGCAAAACCTAATTTCCTACTCATCATTTGATTCAAATTACAAAACAAATAT